GAGGAGGAGGTGGACGAGGAGGTGGACGAGGAGGTGGACGAGGAGGAGGTGGATGAGGAGGAGGTGGATGAGGAAGAGGTGGACGAGGAGGAGGTGGATGAGGAGGAGGTGGATGAGGAGGAGGTGGACGAGGAGGAGGTGGATGAGGAGGAGGTGGATGAGGAGGAGGTGGATGAGGAGGAGGTGGATGAGGAGGAGGTGGATGAGGAGGAGGTGGATGAGGAGGAGGTGGATGAGGATGAGGTGGATGAGGAGGAGGTGGATGAGGAGGAGGTGGATGAGGAGGAGGTGGATGAGGAGGAGGTGGATGAGGAGGAGGTGGATGAGGAGGAGGAGGTGGATGAGGAGGAGGAGGTGGATGAGGAGGAGGTGGATGAGGAGGAGGTGGATGAGGAGGAGGTGGATGAGGAGGAGGAGGTGGATGAGGAGGAGGTGGATGAGGAGGAGGTGGATGAGGAGGAGGTGGATGAGGAGGAGGTGGATGAGGAGGAGGTGGATGAGGAGGAGGTGGATGAGGAGGAGGTGGATGAGGAGGAGGTGGATGAGGAGGAGGTGGACGAGGAGGAGGTGGATGAGGAGGAGGTGGATGAGGAAGAGGTGGACGAGGAGGAGGTGGATGAGGAGGTGGATGAGGAGGAGGTGGACGAGGAGGTGGATGAGGTGGACGAGGAGGAGGTGGACGAGGAGGTGGAGGAGGTGGACGAGGAGGAGGTGGATCAGGAGGTGGATGAGGAGGTGGATGAGGTGGACAAGGATGAGGTGGACGAGGAGGAGGTAGATGAGGTGGACGAGGATGAGTGGGTGGAGGTGGTGGACGAGGTGGAGATGGAGTAGGAGGACGAAGAGGTGGACGAGGAGGAGGTGGACAAGGAGGAGTGGGTGGAGTAGGAGGTGGACGAGGTGGAGTAGGAGGTGGACGAGGTGGAGTAGGTGGAGTGGGTGGACGTGGTGGACGAAGAGGAGTGGGTGGAGTAGGAGGTGGACGAGGTGGAGTAGGTGGAGTGGGTGGACGAGGTGGACGAGTGGGTGGACGAGTGGGTGGACAAGGTGGAGTAGGTGGAGTGGGTGGACGAGGTGGACGAGTGGGTGGACGAGGTGGTGGATGAGGAGGTGGACGAGGTGGAGTGGGTGGAGTGGGTGGACGAGGTGGGTGGACGAGGTGGAGTGGGTGGAGTGGGTGGACGAGGTGGACGAGTGGGTGGACGAGATGGAGGTCCCAATACTCACCGGCTGCGTGGGGAGAGAGGTGGACGACGAGTGGGTGGACGAGGTGGTGGATGAGGAGGTGGACGAGGTGGAGTGGGTGGACGAGGTGCTGGATGAGGAGGTGGATGAGGAGGTGGACGAGGTGGAGTAGGTGGAGTGGGTGGCCGAGGTGGACGAAGTGGGTGGACGAGGAGTGGGTGGACGAGGTGGTGGAGTAGGTGGAGTATGTGGAGTAGGTGGAGTGGGTGGACGAGATGGTGGAGTAGGTGGAGTGGGTGGACGAGGTGGACGAGTGGGTGGACGAGGTGGAGGTCCCAATACTCACCGGCTGCGTGGGGAGAGAGGTGGACGACGAGGTGGACGAGGTGGTGGACGAGGTGGTGGATGAGGAGGTGGACGAGGAGGTGGACGAGGTGGAGTAGGTGGAGTGGGTGGACGCCCGGGGCGAGCAGACGAGGCGTAGGGAGAGACGGGGACCCCACAGGGTCGTCCAGAGCCCGGTCCACCACACCATCGTCACCGGGGATCTGGGATCACGGAACCAGGGGTCAGGGACCTGGAATCAGGGACCTGGGATTAGAGACCTGGGATTAGAGACCTGGGATTAGAGACCTGGGATTAGAGACCTGGGGTTAGGGACCTGGGATTAGAGACCTGGGATCAGGGACCTGGGATTAGAGACCTGGGATTAGAGACCTGGGATTAGAGACCTGGGGTCACGGAACCTGGGATTAGAGACCTGGGGTCACGGAACCTGGGATTAGAGACCTGGGATTGGAGACCTGGGTTAGCGACCTGGGATTAGAGATCTGGGGTTAGAGACCTGGGATTAGGGACCTGGGTTTAGAGACCTGGGATTAGAGACCTGGGATTTGGGACCTGGGATTAGAGACCTGGGATTAGAGACCTGGGGTCACAGAACCTGGGATTAGAGACCTGGGATTGGAGACCTGGGTTAGCGACCTGGGATTAGAGACCTGGGGTTAGAGACCTGGGATTAGAGACCTGGGATTAGAGACCTGGGATTAGAGACCTGGGATTAGAGACCTGGGATTAGGGATCTGGGATCACGGAACCTGGGGTCAGGGACCTGGGTTTAGAGACCTGGGATTAGAGACCTGGGATTAGAGACCTGGGGTCAGGGATCTGGGATTAGAGACCTGGGATTAGAGCGCTGGGATTAGGGACCTGGGATTAGAGACCTGGGATTAGAGACCTGGGATTAGAGACCTGGGATTAGAGACCTGGGATTAGAGACCTGGGGTCAGGGACCTGGGATTAGAGACCTGGGATCACGGAACCTGGGATTAGGGACCTGGAATTAGAGACCTGGGATTAGAGACCTGGGATTAGAGACCTGGGATTAGAGACCTGAGATTAGAGACCTGTGATTAGAGACCTGGGATTAGAGACCTGGAATTAGAGACCTGGGATTAGGGACCTGGGGTTAGAGACCTGGGATTAGAGACCTGGGATTGGGGACCTGGGATTGGGGACCTGGGATTAGAGACCTGGGATTAGAGGCCTGGGATTAGAGACCTGGGCTTAGAGGCCTGGGATTAGAGACCTGGGATTAGAGACCTGGGATTAGAGGCCTGGGATTAGAGACCTGGGATTAGAGACCTGGGATTAGAGACCTGGGATTAGAGACCTGGGATTAGAGACCTGGGGTCAGGGACCTGGGATTAGAGACCTGGGATTAGAGACCTGGGATTAGAGACCTGGGATTAGAGGCCTGGGATTAGAGACCTGGGATTAGAGACCTGGGATTAGAGGCCTGGGATTAGAGACCTGGGATTAGAGACCTGGGATTAGAGACCTGGGGTCACGGACCTGGGATTAGAGGCCTGGGGTCACAGAACCTGGGATTGGGGACCTGGGATTATGAAACTGGAATTAGGGATCTGGGTGTGGGGACCTGGGTCTGTTGGGGCAAAGTGCTGCGAGCCTTGAAGCAGAACCGACCACGCCCGGCCGCCTTTGTCTCTCCCCCCCCCCAGTGTGTACACAGTGGACACACACACAAAGACAAAGCTCCCCCAGGTAGCCTCTAACATGACTGTAGGGGAAAGTGGCTGTCAGTCGTGGAGAGTAGCAGCAGCAGTGTCTATGAAGGCTACCGGCACTGTGGCTACACACACAGTGTGAGTGGTGTGAGTGGTGTGGCCGGAACCACGCCCGGCCGCCTTTGTCTCTCCCCCAGTGGCTACACACAGTGGGGACACACAAAGACAAAGCTCCCCCAGGTAGCCTCTAACAGACCGTAGGGGCAAGTGGCTGTCAGTAGCAGCAGCAGTGTCTATGAAGGCTACCGGCACTGTGGCTACACACACAGTGTGAGTGGTGTGAGTGGTGTGGCCGGAACCACGCCCGGCCGCCTTTGTCTCTCCCCCAGTGGCTACACAGTGGGGACACACAAAGACAAAGCTCCCCCAGGTAGCCTCTAACAGACCGTAGGGGCAAGTGGCTGTCAGTAGCAGCAGTGTCTATGAAGGCTACCGGCACTGTGGCTACACACACAGTGTGTGTGGTGTGAGTGGTGTGGGCGGACCCACGCCCGGCCGCCTTTGTCTCTCCCCCCCCCCACTCAGCGACCACCAAATTTCAGGCCGAGTCAACCTAAGGGCAGGGCCGCCCAAGACCGCTTCGAGATTTTTTTTAAAAAAATCGTCACTAGGTGTAACAACAACAACAACATCAGCAACGACGACGACTACGTCATTGCGGCGGCTGTGCCAGGCTAGGTGCACCTCCACCTCCACGACCACCACCACGAGGTAACGCAACCCACCTTGTTACGCGTGGGACAGTGAAGCCGCGCCCACCGGTGCGCTCCGATTGGCTCTCCTCAGCCTGCGCCGCGACGTCACCGCGCAGACGACGGCGATGACGTCATCGCGCAGCCGCCGATGACGTCATCTCGCCGCCCGTCCCCTCACCTACGTCACCCCGCAACCGACAAAAACGTCACCGCGCAGTCCTCTTACGTCACCGCGCTACCACCCCCCCGCCCCCTCTATGACGTCAACTCGCCGATATTAACGTCACCGCGCAACCGACAAATACGTCACCGCGCAGTCCTCTTACGTCACCGCGCTACCACCCCCCCCCGCCCCCTCTATGACGTCACCGCGCCGACATAAACGTCACCGCGCAACTGACAAATACGTCACCTCGCAGTCCTCTTACGGCACCGCGTTACCACCCCCCCCTTTCCGCCCCCTCCATGACGTCACCGCGCCTACACCAACGTCACCGCGCAACCGACAAAAAACGTCACCGCGCAGCCCCGCAACGTCACCGCGCTACCAATAAAACCCGCCCCCTCTCACGCGTCACCGCCCCGGCCCCCTCCCCACACCAACGACGTCACCGCGCCGCCGACGTCACGTCCGCCTTCTTCCCTGCCCTGGGCTCGTGGTGGTGACGCAGCCGCCATGGTGAGCTCCGTCTCCGCCGCCATCACCGCCTCGCGCCGCAATCCGCCTCGCATCGTCGCCATCGCGCCCCGCCGAGCTCTCGCGGAGCTCGCGGCGGACCCGCGCCATCGTCGCCCTTCGATCGGCGTCGATATTTCGCTTCGCGCTTTTGACGCAGCCCGCCCGTCCGTCCGTTCGCCGTTAAGTTCGCTTCGACGCTGGCGATTTTTTAATCTTTTACGCGGAGCGAGTTTCTCCCACTCCCCGTGAAAATGTTTTTTTAAACGCGAACGTAAAAGTTGTAGGTAGTGGGGTTTCGATTTTTTTGTTCGACGAACTTTTAAATGTTTAATTTTTTTTAAATAACTCATCGCTTAGGGGCGAGACTGTCTGGTAGGACAGCGCTGGAGTGAAAGAGCCACGTTCAGATACGGCCTTTAAGCCTTCAATTTGAGGCTTAAAGGCCGTATCTGAACGTGGCTCTTCAATTTGAGGCTTAAAGGCCGTATCTGAACGTGGCTCTTTCACTCCAGCGCTGTCCTACCAGACAGTCTCGCCCCCTTCACCTGATGAAGGCCGCTTGTGTTGTGGCCGAAACGTCGTGAGAATATTATTGTGTTATTTTATTTTATCAATTTATTATTTTATTATCATTCTACGTGACTTTACCGAAAGAACCAAAGAAGATGAATCATTGCAGTCACGAAAGCTTTAAATCGAAATTCATCGCTTAGGGTTCGATTGAAATAAATAGGCCTTAGGGTCTGAACACGTGGGATAGAGAACACGCACATACAGTGTGGTAGTGTACAGTGTTAGGTGTTCATCCAGCAGTGGATAAGTTAATGGTTGTACTGAGACACGGTGAACCACGTGGGTACACAGTGTGGTAGTGTACAGTGTTGGTGTTCATCTAGCAGTGGATAAGTTAATGGTTGTACTGAGACACGGTGAACCACGTGGGTTAGAGAACACACACATACAGTGTGGTAGTGTTGGTGTTCATCTAGCAGTGGATAAGTTAATGGTTGTACTGAGACACGGTGAACCACGTGGGTTAGAGAACACACATACAGTGTGGTAGTGTACAGTGTTGGTGTTCATCTAGCAGTGGATAAGTTAATGGTTGTACTGAGACACTGTGAACCACGTGGGATAGAGAACACACATACAGTGTGGTAGTGTACAGTGTTGGTGTTCATCCAGCAGTGGATAAGTTAATGGTTGTACTGAGACACGGTGAACCACGTGGGATAGAGAACACACATACAGTGTGGTAGTGTTGGTGTTCATCCAGCAGTGGATAAGTTAATGGTTGTACTGAGACACGGTGAACCACGTGGGTTAGAGAACACACATACAGTGTGGTAGTGTTGGTGTTCATCTAGCAGTGGATAAGTTAATGGTTGTACTGAGACACGGTGAACCACGTGGGTTAGAGAACACACACACAGTGTGGTAGTGTTGGTGTTCATCCAGCAGTGGATAAGTTAATGGTTGTACTGAGACACGGTGAACCACGTGGGTTAGAGAACACACACACAGTGTGGTAGTGTTGGTGTTCATCCAGCAGTGGATAAGTTAATGGTTGTACTGAGACACGGTGAACCACGTGGGATAGAGAACACACATACAGTGTGGTAGTGTTGGTGTTCATCTAGCAGTGGATAAGTTAATGGTTGTACTGAGACACGGTGAACCACGTGGGTTAGAGAACACACACATACAGTGTGGTAGTGTTGGTGTTCATCTAGCAGTGGATAAGTTAATGGTTGTACTGAGACACGGTGAACCACGTGGGTTAGAGAACACACACATACAGTGTGGTAGTGTTGGTGTTCATCTAGCAGTGGATAAGTTAATGGTTGTACTGAGACACGGTGAACCACGTGGGTTAGAGAACACACACATACAGTGTGGTAGTGTTGGTGTTCATCTAGCAGTGGATAAGTTAATGGTTGTACTGAGACACGGTGAACCACGTGGGTTAGAACACACACATACAGTGTGGTAGTGTTGGTGTTCATCTAGCAGTGGATAAGTTAATGGTTGTACTGAGACACGGTGAACCACGTGGGTTAGAGAACACACATACAGTGTGGTAGTGTTGGTGTTCATCTAGCAGTGGATAAGTTAATGGTTGTACTGAGACACGGTGAACCACGTGGGTTAGAGAACACACATACAGTGTGGTAGTGTTGGTGTTCATCTAGCAGTGGATAAGTTAATGGTTGTACTGAGACACGGTGAACCACGTGGGATAGAGAACACACATACAGTGTGGTAGTGTTGGTGTTCATCTAGCAGTGGATAAGTTAATGGTTGTACTGAGACACGGTGAACCACGTGGGATAGAGAACACACATACAGTGTGGTAGTGTTGGTGTTCATCCAGCAGTGGATAAGTTAATGGTTGTACTGAGACACGGTGAACCACGTGGGATAGAGAACACACATACAGTGTGGTAGTGTTGGTGTTCATCTAGCAGTGGATAAGTTAATGGTTGTACTGTGACACGGTGAACCACGTGGGTTAGAGAACACACACATACAGTGTGGTAGTGTACAGTGTTGGTGTTCATCTAGCAGTGGATAAGTTAATGGTTGTACTGAGACACGGTGAACCACGTGGGATAGAGAACACACACATACAGTGTGATGGTGTTGGTGTTCATCTAGCAGTGGATAAGTTAATGGTTGTACTGAGACACGGTGAACCACGTGGGTTAGAGAACACACACATACAGTGTGGTAGTGTTGGTGTTCATCCAGCAGTGGATAAGTTAATGGTTGTACTGAGACACGGTGAACCACGTGGGATAGAACACACATATACAGTGTGGTAGTGTTGGTGTTCATCTAGCAGTGGATAAGTTAATGGTTGTACTGAGACACGGTGAACCACGTGGGATAGAACACACATATACAGTGTGGTAGTGTACAATGTTGGTGTTCATCCAGCAGTGGATAAGTTAATGGTTGTACTGAGACACGGTGAACCACGTGGGATAGAGAACACACACATACAGTGTGGTAGTGTTGGTGTTCATCTAGCAGTGGATAAGTTAATGGTTGTACTGAGACACGGTGAACCACGTGGGTTAGAGAACACACACATACAGTGTGGTAGTGTTAGGTGTTCATCTAGCAGTGGATAAGTTAATGGTTGTACTGAGACACGGTGAACCACGTGGGTTAGAGAACACACACATACAGTGTGGTAGTGTTAGGTGTTCATCTAGCAGTGGATAAGTTAATGGTTGTACTGAGACACGGTGAACCACGTGGGTACACAGTGTGGTAGTGTAAAGTGTTGGTGTTCATCTAGCAGTGGATAAGTTAATGGTTGTACTGTGACACGGTGAACCACGTGGGTTAGAGAACACACATACAGTGTGGTAGTGTTGGTGTTCATCTAGCAGTGGATAAGTTAATGGTTGTACTGAGACACTGTGAACCACGTGGGATAGAACACATACAGTGTGGTAGTGTACAGTGTTGGTGTTCATCCAGCAGTGGATAAGTTAATGGTTGTACTGAGACACGGTGAACCACGTGGGATAGAGAACACACACATACAGTGTGATAGTGTTGGTGTTCATCTAGCAGTGGATAAGTTAATGTTTGTACTGAGACACGGTGAACCACGTGGGATAGAGAACACACACATACAGTGTGGTAGTGTTGGTGTTCATCTAGCAGTGGATAAGTTAATGGTTGTACTGAGACACGGTGAACCACGTGGGTTAGAGAACACACACATACAGTGTGGTAGTGTTGGTGTTCATCTAGCAGTGGATAAGTTAATGGTTGTACTGAGACACGGTGAACCACGTGGGTTAGAGAACACACATACAGTGTGGTAGTGTTGGTGTTCATCTAGCAGTGGATAAGTTAATGGTTGTACTGAGACACGGTGAACCACGTGGGTTAGAGAACACACACATACAGTGTGGTAGTGTTGGTGTTCATCTAGCAGTGGATAAGTTAATGGTTGTACTGAGACACGGTGGACCACGTGGGATAGAGAACACACACGTACAGTGTGGTAGTGTTGGTGTTCATCCAGCAGTGGATAAGTTAATGGTTGTACTGAGACACGGTGAACCACGTGGGATAGAGAACACACACATACAGTGTGGTAGTGTTGGTGTTCATCTAGCAGTGGATAAGTTAATGGTTGTACTGTGACACGGTGAACCACGTGGGATAGAGAACACACATACAGTGTGGTAGTGTTGGTGTTCATCCAGCAGTGGATAAGTTAATGGTTGTACTGTGACACGGTGAACCACGTGGGTTAGAGAACACACATACAGTGTGGTAGTGTTGGTGTTCATCTAGCAGTGCATAAGTTAATGGTTGTACTGTGACACGGTGAACCACGTGGGATAGAGAACACACATACAGTGTGGTAGTGTTGGTGTTCATCCAGCAGTGGATAAGTTAATGGTTGTACTGAGACACGGTGAACCACGTGGGATAGAGAACACACATACAGTGTGGTAGTGTTAGGTGTTCATCCAGCAGTGGATAAGTTAATGGTTGTACTGAGACACGGTGAACCACGTGGGATAGAGAACACACATACAGTGTGGTAGTGTTGGTGTTCATCTAGCAGTGGATAAGTTAATGGTTGTACTGAGACACGGTGAACCACGTGGGTTAGAGAACACACACATACAGTGTGGTAGTGTTGGTGTTGGTGTTCATCTAGCAGTGGATAAGTTAATGGTTGCACAGGGAGACACGTGGAGAGGGACCCACAGGTATTTTACCCAACATAATTATCCAGTCAGAATCCTTATCCTGCAGGAGAAATCAGAAGAGCTACTAAGCTCTTTAGACACATGTCCAGGAAGGGGGGGGGGGGTGGTGGTGGCACAAAGACAAAGATCCCCCGTGTAGCCTTAACAGACTGTAGGGGCAAGTGGATGTTAGTAGTGAGTAGCAGCAGTGTCTAAAGCTACAGACAAAGATCCCCCGTGTAGCCTGAACAGACTGTAGGGGCAAGTGGCTGTTAGTAGCGAGTAGCAGCATCGTCTATGAAGGCTACAGACAAAGGTCCCCCGTGTAGCCTTAACATACTGTAGGGGCAAGTGGCTGTTAGTAGTGAGTAGCAGCAGTGTCTAAAGCTACAGACAAAGATCCCCCGTGTAGCCCTAACAGACTGTAGGGGCAAGTAGCTATTAGTAGCGAGTAGCAGCAGTCTCTAAATCTACAGACAAAGGTCCCCCGTGTAGCCCTAACAGACTGTAGGGGCAAGTGGCTGTTTAGTAGCGGGTAGCAGCAGCGTCTATGAAGGCTACAGACAAAGGTTCCCCGTGTAGCCCTAACAGACTGTAGGGGCAAGTGGCTGTTAGTAGCAGCAGTGTCTATGAAGGCTACAGACAAAGGTCCCCCGTGTAGCCTTAACAGACTGTAGGGGCAAGTGGCTGGTTAGTAGCAAGTAGCATCAGCGTCTATGAAGGCTACAGACAAAGATCCCCCGTGTAGCCTTCACAGACTGTAGGGGCAAGTGGCTGGTTAGTAGCGAGTAGCAGCAGCGTCTATGAAGGCTACAGACAAAGGTTCCCCGTGTAGCCTTAACAGACTGTAGGGGCAAGTGGCTGTTAGTAGCAGCAGTGTCTATGAAGGCTACAGACAAAGATCCCCCTTGTAGCCTTCACAGACTGTAGGGGCAAGTGGCTGTTAGTAGCGAGTAGCAGCAGTCTCTAAAGCTACAGACAAAGATCCCCCGTGTAGCCCTAACAGACTGTAGGGGCAAGTGGCTGTTTAGTAGCCAGTAGCAGCAGTGTCTAAAGCTACAGACAAAGATCCCCCGTGTGTAGCCTGTAACAGACTGTAGGGGCAAGTGGCTGTTAGCGAGCAGCGTCTATGAAGGCCGGAACGGTACACGATGGGGATGGGTGGCCAGCACCACGCGCCCGGCCGCCTTTGTCTCCCCCACTAGGCGATGGTTGACCACACCGCCGCTACACCAGCTGCTCGCCTGTGGCTGGGTCGACCTAGGGGGGCGAGCCCCCCTATGACCAAGTTGGGATAGTTCCAATTCGCAGCGCTAACCGCAGGCACGGCCGCTTTGTCCCACATAACACAACTCTGTCTCTCTCTCTGTCTCTCTGTCCCCCTCTCTCTCCCCTCTCTCTCTGTCTCTCTGTCCCCCTCTCTCTCCCCTCTCTCTCTGTCCCCCTCTCTCTCTCTCCGTCTCTGTCTGTCTCTATCCCCTCTCTCTCTCCCCCCCCTCTCTCTCCCCCTCTCCCCCTCTCTCTCTCTCCCCCTCTCTCTCCCTTTCTCTCTCTCTCTGTCCCCCTCTCCCCCTCTCTCTCCCCCTCTCTCTCTCTGTCTCCCTCTCCCCCTCTCGTCCCCCTCTCTCTCCCCCTCTCTCTCTTTCCCTCTCTCTCTCCCCCCTCTCTCTCTCTCCCCCTCTGTCTCCCTCTCCCCCTCTCGTCTCCCTCTCTCTCCCCCTCTCCCCCTCTCTCTCTGTCCCCCTCTCTCTTTCCCTCTCTCTCTCCCCCCTCTCTCTCCCCCTCTGTCTCCCTCTCCCCCTCTCGTCTCCCTCTCTCTCCCCCTCTCCCTCTCTCTCCCCCCTCTCCCTCTCTCTCTCCCCTCTCTCTCCTCTCTCTCTCTCCCCCCCCCCTCTCTCCCCCCCCCCCCTCTCTCCCCCCTCTCTCTCTCCCCCTCTCCCCCCCTCTACGCAGGTGAACGTTCCCAAGTCGCGCAGGACCTTCTGCAAGAAGTGTCGCAAGCACCAGCCGCACAAAGTGACGCAGTACAAGAAGGGAAAGGACTCCGTCTACGCTCAAGGTGAGGGGACACCCCCTGGAGCGGGTCCACGTAGCCGCCGTGACCAGGTCGAGGAGTGACCCCAAGTGCCACCTGTGATTTGTAAACAGATGAGTAATGTTTTATATATATATGTGTGTGTGTGTGTGCCTGGGGGAGCGGTAGTGTAGCGGTTAGCGCTATGAACCTGGCGACCCGGGTTCCGATTCCCGCTCACGGTCAACACCGTCAGTGACGATTATTTGAACCGGTCCCGGGCCTCCCCTAGGTCGACTCAGCCTCAAATGAGTACCTGGTGCGGTGTGTAGTAAACATCGTCACTGGGGAGACAAAGGCGGTCGGGCGTGGTGCTGGCCACCCACCCCCTCGTGTACCGTTCCGGCCTTCATAGGTGCTCGATAACAGCACTTGCCCCTACAGTCTGTTAAGGCTATATGGGGCATCTTTGTTTTGTTGTTTGTATGTGTGTGTGTGTGTATGTGAGTGTATGTGTGAGTATGTGTGTGTGTATGTGTGTGTATGTGTGTGTGTGTATGTGTGTGTATGTGTGTGTGTATGTGAGTGTATGTGTGTATGTGTGTGTGAGTATGTGTGTATGTGTGTGTGTGTATGTGTGTGGGGAGCGATAGTGTGGCGGTTAGCGCTACGCTGCGCTATGAACCTGGCGACCCGGGTTCGATTCCCGCTCACGGTCAACACCGTCAGTGACGATTATTTGAACCGGTCCCGGGCCTCCCCTAGGTCGACTCAGCCTCAAATGAGTACCTGGTGCGGTGTGTAGTAAACATCGTCACTGTGGAGACAAAGGCGGTCGGGCGTGGTGCTGGCCACCCACCCCCTCGTGTGTACCGTTCCGGCCTTCATAGGTGCT